GAGGCCCCGCCCCGTCTAGGCCCCGCCCCGCCTGGCACAGGGCGGCTCCAGAGCACCCGCATCGGCAACTTCGACCCTGGAGAGCAAATCCCCTTAACCCCCCAGCACTTCCACCAGCTTACACTTAGGTCGATCGTGACCTTTTTGTAGGCCAAAATACTCGGATATCGGCAATTTCGTGGGGTTCCAGCCTCAGAGCTACACAGAGTATATGGGAGATACGTGGCCAGACAAGCGCCCTTATCTGCACTATCCAGCACTCTCCCGGTTAAACCCTTCCAACTCTGTTTTCACAGAGTAAAAAGCATTCTCCTCACCTCATCCGATAACTATTCCCCGGGCTCAACTTCAGTATTGCCTCAGATCTAAGTCACTTCTCCATTTCTACCCGTCAGCACCGTATTTTAAACTCCCCCTCCCCCGTGAAAGGGCTGCAGTGAGAGCAGTAACCGCGTAGCCATATTAAGCTCCTATTTCAACCTCCAAACTGAAACTGTACTTACTGTCTTCCCACTCTGGGAAAGTCATCCTAAATGGCCTCATAAAACAGAGCAGCTTGTTTTGTTTTTAAACACGCATCACCCTTGCCCCAATAAAGTTCCGGGCCTCAGATTTGCATTGCGTCAGCTGGTGCGTTCAGGTGCAACCTGTCATTACATCATGCTTAGGGCCGCCTGTAAACGCAGCTAGAGCTGACAGTGGGAGTGAACCCTGGACCGGAAATTGTAGATTACCCACTTTCGGCATCAAATTTCAACTCGAATCACTTTCTTCCACCCTATTAATAGCGTGTTCAATCACTTCACCTTATTTTACTATTAGGCAACAGAAAACATCATTAGGAGTAGAAATAAATAAACTATTATTACCCGCGTTTTTAATTGTCTAATACATATTCATTCTGGATAGGTCTCAGGTTTCCAGGGCAGGCACTTCAAATGTTTTAGGCACAGAAACTCTTTCCAAACAGAATTAAGACAGAACCCAAATGTATAAAACAAGGGGATTACTGATTCCTTGTGCCAAAAAAGGAAATCATTTTTCCCCCAAACTGCGGAAGGACCTGCAGAGAGCCTCACAGCACCATCTGAAAACCACTGATCCACGGACAAACTCCTCAGCGAGTGCGTGGGGACAGGAAAAGCCCAAGTGTCCTGGAGTCGTCTGCACCTGGATCCACACCCGGCCTTCGCGGCCTGCTCAATTATGAAACTGGGACATTTCCAGCCTCACATGGCTTTTCCTGAGATTAAAGGAGGTAGGTGGGTAACTTATATATCATAGGTGATACATATTTCTGAATATGGAAGGATTCACCTGAGACCTCCAAAAGTTCCCTGCCTGGGGTCATCAACCTTAGAGACCTAGAACCAGTGGGTCCCAGACACACACTCTAAGACGCATGTAAGTGTAGCTTGTAAAGGGGACCAATCATGTCTGCCAAAGACCAACTGTCATTTAACTAATTTTTAGCACAATAAACCTTAACAGAATTTCTCAACTAGGTGTAATACTTATCTACACTGATTTTACAAAGAGCTGGAAATATCAGACAAACTCCATTACACTAAAATGAGCCCAAAGAATCCAAAGTAAAGCAAACATCCAAAATTTTCCAAGAGTGCACTAACTACCTATACCGTCCAAAGACTGTATCAAGCCTGGTTTGGTATAAAGTTTAAAGAGGTTTTAATCTAAATAAAAACACTTTAGAGTCAGCCTTTAATGTTGTACTAATAATTTCAGAGCATTCAACCACTGTTTTGACACACTAACATACAGAAGCAGGTGGACTTCAACTTTTATTCTCAATTTCGGGTGGGAACCTGTCTCCTTTTATTAAATGGCAGATGAAGAATTTCTCTGATCAGTCATAATCACATGCCTGGCTACTCTAATACATAACGATGCTGTGCTTGCCATTTTCTTCCAGTTTACAAATGTCACTATGGAAGGCCTTATTATACATGCCCCACCTCAAAGATGTCCCATCCTAATCCCTGCCACTGGACCTGTGAAAATGTTATGTTTATAGCAATGGCAGCAGGCTAATACTGTTACTTAAAAAATGAAAGTTGAAAATGGAGAAACAGAAACAGACATGGAAAATGGACCACAACGTATCACTGAGCAAGTTATAAAAAGAACATATACGGGAAGTAGCCGGGCAGGCTCAGAAACTCGGAAGACTATGTCTGCACCAGAAAATGACCAGTTATCTGGGTGATAGGATACTGGTGATTTTTAGCTGTATGTCCTTCAAGGGGAGAAATTAAGAAATGCTTTATAAAAATTAATCTGACTGCAAAATGTCAAGTCAAAATAATAAGTAAAATTTGCATTCTTAAGTTAGAAAAAAAAGATGCAAATATCGTTACCCCTTTTACTTCTCCAAAAACTATTCTTAGAAATTGCTATTTACTGTAAAATAAAAAATATAGGCTCAGATTATAAATTTGCTCTGTATCAGAAATCAGTGGGTTAAATGGAACTACTTCATTCCAAACATTTAAGGGCTTTTTCCTTTCCTCAACTCCTTTTTGCAGAAAAAGGTACTTTCTACATATGACATTGTGATGAGTGTTGTGCAGAAAGTTAGTTTGTTTAAAAAAAAAAAAAAATTGTTCTATTTTAAGATTTATTTCCTAAACAGACAAAATTAAAATTTAGATGGTCTCATTAAAAATTTGGCATCTTAAAACATTAAAAGTGAAAAATCAAACCTCATTATAAAACAATGCTAAGAAAAAAGTTAAGCAACCTATTTTTAGTTTCCAGAACTGTAGCAAAGTAATAAGAAAAGTTTTTTTAATTGTATGTATTTCCCTAAAAGCACCCTTTCCCTCAAAGTAATTCTGAAAACTCTGTAGCTATAGAAGAAGAGTTAGGGCCTGAGTCAGACTGAGCATCTGGAGTGGGGAAAGCCCGGGACAGAGGACCTAACAGAAGGCGATGAAGACAGAAGTCTGGTCTGAACGAAGGTGATGACACATAAATGAAGAGGAAAATGCAGCCCCTAACTCAAACATGTAAAGCAAAGTACATTTGCTTTTTTTTTAATGCCTAAATCGCTGTATTTTGAGGGTTCCACCTCTGGTTAAAAAAAAAAAAAGCATATACTTAATTAGAACCTATTAGGCACTACATTAGATACTGAAATATAATAAATGAGATGCAAAGTAGGAGATGCTTGTGAGATGTCTATTCAAAAAAAGTAGCTGATATACAAAAGAGCTAAGATTGGAGATTAAGAGTTAACAGCCAGATGCTACCTGAAGTCCAAGGGGGGGGGCTTGCCTAAGATAAGAGAAATCTCAACACTTAAAGATTTAAGGGTTCATTAAAGGAAAAGGTAGTAGCCCCTAGACTGCGACACTTCTCAAACTTTATTGTGCTTACTAATCACCTAGAGATCTTGTTAAAAATGCAGAATCAGATTTAGAATCAGAACTAGTCTGAAGCTGTTCCTGAGATTCTGCATTTTTAACCAGCTCCCAGGTATGACCAATGCTCCTGGCTGAGGCCCATGCTAAGTAGCAGAAGTCTAAAGAACTCAGAAGCAAAGCCAAGGTGAGAGAAAACTGGGAAAGGGCCGTATCTCAGAAGTCAAGGGAAGACGGAGATTTAAGAAGATATCCAAAAACTCACCCACGCATCACTATTAGAATCGACTATGCTTTATTATATTCTTATAAGCAACTTGTATTATTTCTGTAATCAGAAAAACATTTTTTAAAAAGGCAAGAGGCAGACATGTTTAAATATGCAATAACTCAAAGAATATACCATCTATAAACCCTAAAGAAAATTACTTGATAAAGTAATCAAATCAAGTGATGAATGAAAATAAGTAATTCGGAAACGGTGATCCTGTTGTAAAAGGATTAAGGCTAGTCAGGAGCGACTCCATCTAAACACAGAACTAAGACTATACTGGGGCATTACGATTACATATCGGAAAGTAAATATAAATGCTGGCAAGTTGCAAATAACTTTGAAATAATTTAAAAGCCATATGGTAAGGAAGTAGGAAAAAAATGGTACAGTTGACCATGTGGAACCTGCTAAGAGGTGAGGTAAGGTCAGGCCATGGTTTGGCAAATAGAAAAGCTAAATGAATCGAGACCCAGATCTTAACACTGTCACAAAAATTAATTCAAAATGGATCACAGACCGAAATGTAAAATGTAAAACTATAAAACTCCTAGATGATAACATAGGAGAAAATCAAGATGTCCTTGGGTTTGGCAATGACTTCTAGAAACAACACCAAAGACATGAACCAGAAAAGAACAACTGGTAAGTTGGACCTGATTAAAATTTAAAATTT